TTAGTTATATTGTCATTTTCATAGGAGATAGGTGAAAAATAATGTACTTAATCGGTAACTGAAATACAAAAGATCTTTATAAGATGAATTTTATTTTTCACCATAGTAATATAGTGACTCACAGGGGCGGCTCTTGCTTATAAAATTTAAGGCATTGGCCTTAGGCACCCCGTTTTTGGGGGCCTCAAATTTCTACAAATAAAAAATTATGTATTTTAATTCCATTAAAATAATTAAAATAGAAGAAATCAAGAAAACATTGTTTTAAACTCTTACATTTTTTCGGTAACACTCACATTATTTATTATTTTTAACTCTTTTTTGCACTCCATTTTTTCAAATCTTTGATAGTTAGAGTAATATACTCTCAAAAATATGAATCAATAGTCGAAAAGTGTTGAACAAAGTAAATTACAAATTCTTTTTTTATTTCTTCGTAAATTTTCATATTAAAGTAGGCATACAAAGTTATCAACTTTTTGAATCAGATTCTATAATTCTAACTCTTATCTTTAAAGTTTATCAACTTATTACTTATAGAAATATGTTCATAATTCATATAATAATTGTCTTAATAAAAGGATGTTTTTCAATGTTGAATTGATAAAATCTTACCTAAAATAATAATTGAAAAAAGTATTTGAAAAAATTATTTATATAAAAGATATTTAGTAGTAATTTACATCTAAAAATTTAGAAAAATAAATAAATACAAAGAAAGTTTATTTAGATTTTAGGCCTCTAATTAAAATTTTGCTTTAGGCCTCGAATTATGTTGAGCCGCCCCTGGTGACTCATGAGGGACAAATTCATTCTCACACACGAACAATTCACGTGCCACATAGGATCTTTCAGTCCTTTCTAAAAGTTGATTGATCCAATCCCTTAATGGCTCTTGCAACCTATCGATAGCATATAAGTAGTATGTTTTTTTTATTTTATGATACGTTAAACGCAATGTGTACCTATAATTTAAATCATATATAGTACACATATTTATACATTGATCGGTTTGCTTGGTACAAACTTTTGTGCTAGTCCTTGTCACTTTACCTATGTTTTCTAACCAATAAAATAACGAAGAAAAGTGATCAAAAAATTACATGGAAACTATGACCAATCGACAATAAAGAGTATTGCTACATTTTATATGCATCTTTTCATATTTTTAAACTATCGATATAAGATTTTGTTCACATATTTAACGATTTATTTTGAACCAAATATCACGTTGTTATTACGATAATCCACATGGAATGCATGTGTATTATTACGATTAGTTTTATTTTTAAAGAAAATATTTCATTATGTTAGTGGATCAAATTTGTTCTATACAGATTTTTTAAAGGGATTTAAAGGAGGACAAAGTTTATTAAATATTCTACAACTTCATAGAAAGGCTTAATAGTACTTTTGGTACCATTGCTATTAATAAATTTTAATTTTAGTACTAAAAAAATTTCATTTTTAATTACTTGAAATATGCATTTTTGATCCCCTTATTTGTTATTGATCACATTTAATTACTCATATATTATGTCAAACTTGTATTGTTAATTGTTACTTTATAATTGAGGGTATCTCAATGTACTTATAAAAAAATAGTCTAAACATAGCCTATTTTCGACATAAAAGGACCAAAAGCACACATTTCCAACTAATTACAAGTTAAATACATCAAATCATAACACACAAAGGACAAAAATCAGAATTTACATATAATTGAGGGACCAAAAGTGTTATTAACCCAAATATAAAACCCTATCTATAAATACCTTGCCTTCAGTCCCCAATCATTCATCTCACAAAATTAGGGTTCTTTTGCTCTTAGCCGCCACCCCTTTTATTTTTGAATTGAGTTATGCTTATTTAGATTTATGGCAGATTACCTGGAACATGCTTTCTTTATTTTTTCATAATTTTACATGATTATGGGTAGCAAAGGATTAATGTGAAACAAATAAGTGATATGTGAAGAACATTGGAGAATTCAAAGAGTTGTTGTTAGGAAGAAAACACTGTGTTTCTCGTGAATCCTTCGGCTATCCATAATCATGTTGAATGTGTGACTTGAAATTTTCTTGTCTTCTTAAATAAAGAAAGCATGGTTTGAGGTAAATGCTAATTAAATCTTTGAGTTTTGCTCATATATTTGCTTTAGTCACACTGTTTGTTAACTTTTGTTGAAGATCCAATTGCTACTTGTACTTTGATTATCATATTATTTTGTTAGTATCTGTTGATTCTTGTACTTGGAATTAGCTACTCCTTATATTGTCAATGTTTGGTTATTTTGCTTGTTGTGAGATATGATTTAGAATGTTTAGTCAATTTTTTATGAACTTTTCCTTGTCAAGCACATAATGTTATGAGTGTCCATGACCTTTGAATTAGGCTATCTTTATTTGTGTTTTGGTGTATTATCTAGAGCATGCTTGTTTTATTTTCTCTTCATTTTGCATGGTTGTGGGTTGCTGTAGGATTGATGTGAAACAACGAGGTTAGATGTGAAAAATCATTGAGAGATAGTCTAATGTGTTTACCAAAGAGAACGCTTTTATGTTTCACAAATCCTTCAGCAATCCATAACCATGTTAATGTTGGGACTTAAGAATTTTCTTGTTCTCAAGTGGTGTAAAATAAAGCAAGCATGGCTTTAGGTAATTGCTAAAAGTATGAGTTTGTCTATGCCCTTTTTAATGATGCTTAGTTGTTAAAGATAGCTCAACCTATACCTGTAATAATGCGTTAGCTTCTTCGTAGTTGTATTGTTATGTACCAGACACTATTATAATGTTGTAGCTATCTTTTTTGGATAATGGAGATCAAGATTTAGTATAACTGAAATCTAAACTATATGTCTAAATGCAAATGATCAATATTGTTTTGCAAATACTACACATTTGCTTGGTATGCAGGATTCAGAAATTTTGACAGGTTGATGTTCCAACTAGAGGGAGAGAGAGGAGCAAGAAAACACTCAACATATATAGAACATTGCCATTTTATATAGAGTATTACAAATGTTGTACATGATATATGTAACACTTGGGTATTGTATATCCTATGTTTTGCTGTATGTAGCGCCTTCTTGGCGCGATTGATAATGCTTGACAATAATATAAATGGATTTTTTGATATATGATTTGCTTGTTCTTCATTGTACTTTCTTTTCTATGTGGGGGTTTAAAGATTCTTGTGAAGATGTGTGCTTTCACTAGCATTATGTTCACTGCTCGCCACTACCACTACCACAACCACCATCTGCTGTTGTTAACGATCACTATCACCAATCATCACCACTACACATAGCCAACCATCATTGTCACTTCTGCCACAACCACCTCCACTAGCTGTGAGTTTGTTTAAACTCATTACTTTTGATGAAAATGTTTAATTTATTTAAAATACAAGAAATAATAGTAGTGATTTGAACTAATAGTACCACAAGTTCAATCTAGAACACTAAATTTAAATTGTAAATCCACCTCTGATTGTTGACCCATCACAAAAGTTATACAAAGAATAATAGTACAGTCTACCCAACTCTTACCAAATTCTAATTTCTTTACTTAAAATTTATCTAATTAATCCAAACAAAACTAATTAAAGTTTTATCACTTTAATAACTTTGACATATGAATGAATATTTTTTCATCCAAATATGTTGACAAGGTTTATGAACTAATTTTACCAAACATTAACAATTCCAAGTAGTTTTTTTTCCTACTAAGGATTTTTCCATGTAGGTTGGGTTAACGGGATAAAGTAAAGAAGGAAAAGGAGATTAGTTAACAACCAAAGATAAAGTAAAAAGTTTGGGTAAAGAATTCAACAGAAAAAATGAAGTTAACCTCAACAGAAACTCCTGCTCAAAACATGACAAAAAGAAAGCAATATTTCTTCAGATCTTTCTCTACAAAAACTGTCCTCACAGATAATAAAAATACTTGAATCTCTTGTATCTGAAACTAACAATAAATGCAGTATTATAATCTCTACATGTTCTTTCAATAACCCCAGCACTCTTCCAAGCTGCATATGGGGGATTTGGAGGAGCCTCAAATTCAAAGTGTATAAATCTGCAAATTATGAAGAGATAATGAGGTCGTATATTCAAAGATGATATTCACATTTAAAAGAGATGGAAACTGAAGCCTAACAGGAAACTATAAAAGGACTCATCTTTTCGTATAAGAAAGTAGACTCGGTATTACACTTTGCACTACTAAAATAACGTCTTGTTTCTAATACAAAACTCTGCATCAGTCTCGACTTTGATAACTATGCATGACAAAACCCTACATTATCCATAACAAAAATTACAACACATAACTAGTCCGTGAACGATACAATCACATATACATTCAAGTATATGTGAAGGTCAAGCCAATTTTTTTTTTTTGATGACAAGAAACCCGCAGCCGCTACTCTTTGGGTGCGCACAGGGTAAAACCTCCGCTCCTATGCAATAGGTCGCAAACCACATAGGAGAGGTAACCAGCACTAGGCAAGCCTGGTGCGGGTTACAGAAAAATGACACACAGGCCCATGTATTTTAGCTATCACTGCTAGTGAAATAATCATGAACTGCAGAATGGACTACCACCCAAAAAAGGGTTAAAACAAAAAAGACACGTACAGGTAGTTTAGTTATCAATGTTTGCAGCTCCTTGTTATTGATAAGGATCAAAGCTTCCAAGTACTATTGTTTTGAAAGTGTTCTATACAACTTTCACAAGTAGCAAGATTCCCCATCAGATGGATAACAACAACAGTACTTCAATATTTTCTTTTACAACAAGTATTTCAACAAGTTATTTTACTTCAGTCCCCTATGTATTCCAAAAGCCATGCAATATAATAGGTACCCATTGAATTGGTTTCTGTCCTAACAACCACTCAATAAAAAGCCACCTCATTTTAATTATAACAACAAGACACAAGGTAAAACTAAATAAAGATGCAAAATCTCTTTAAAGATGGAGAGCATAAGATACCAGCAGATCTAGGTGATACTAAATTCAAGTTGATCTGATCAACTGCCTCCCTTCTGCTTGAGTGTTATCTTGTCTCCCAAGCTAAGAGCAATTCCTTGGGTTTTGCTCCTTATCCTGATGTAGCCGCTCAGCTTACTATCTGCTTGTTTCTCAATGCTTACATTCACCAAAGCATCCTCGCCAAACACACTCTTTGCATACAAGTTAGCAGCGAGAAACCCGCATTCCCCTTCCAAAGCAGACCTGGAATCATGCATGAAAGCGCATATACGTGTCAACCAAGCCATGCATCACTAGGACAAATAATATTGCTCAATATATCCAGATCAGTAACAGAACAAAATGAACTGAAAGGCCATTCTGGAGCTTGAATACATTATTTAGAAACTCATTCGAAGCAGTTCAATTACATCCAACAGTAAAAAAACAGCGGTAAAATAAAGAAACTAAACTAGTTCCTGTAATAATAAACTACGATTTCTTTTCTTTTTTTATTAATTAAGAGGTGGTAAAGCATCAAGAAGATGCAAGAAGTTACATAGAGAAATAGGTGAAAACTCCAGAACAACAAAACACAGTTAGGATCTGTGAGTTAAAACCTAAAGCAAAAACTCAAGGCTATGCAATAATAAACTACTATTTCAACTAAAAGTAACATGTAGGATCCAATTTTAAAAAGTTTACTAATTTTCCCTTGATAAAGTAACTTGTGCTATCCAACTTCAAATTCTTTCATGATTTCTGAATATAACACCAAAATAAAACATGTAATAATTGGAATAGCCAAATTTCCCCTGAAACACACTGTTCTCACGATGACTAGGTATAATTTGGTAAGCTCCTAGGTCTATACAGCAACCATAATACCAGTGGTTCTTAGATTCTAAAGATCGCTAAGAAGAGTAGTCCTAAACTCAGTCTTATGCAAACACCATCATATACATGACGAATCAGTTCAAGTACTTCCACATTTTCATGCAGGACAAACTCATATTCTTGGTAGTCCATATACATCAAAGTACATCAATTTATCTATAATGGAAAATAATAAGCACCAATCAAACACAATTTGTTTGTCATCGATATTGAAGTTCTAAGTTTTATACAGCACAATAATCCTGTGGCTACAAGTCCCCCCCTTTTCTCTTACATATGTAGTCTCCAAAATTGTCCCAAAACAAGTTTCATGTATCACAACTTTGGACTATAGTACTATACAAAATAGAAAATGATAATAATCTAGAACAAGATGGTATGGACATCAACAAATACATCAAAATCAGTAAAGGCATACATAACAACCAAGTACAACTTTCCACAATTATAGGCAAACAGATAACTTACAGCGCAGTAAGGCACTTCATGTTGGTTGATTTGATTATATGGTCAAGAAAATCTTTTTCATCTTGAATGACAGTGTTGACAGCAACCTGCAATTTAGAAAGCTAGTGGCTCATTCTCAAGTGCTTATAAATATAATTCATGTAGTAATTGCTCCACTATATTCATGGTAAGACATACAAGAGACTACTCCAAAGTTTAGATGCCAAGCAGAGCATTGATTAAATCAATTTACCCCATAAGCAGATCAAGATTTTTTTTTGAGATAACTAGTTAATAATATTGCTATAACACACGCCCAGATCAAGATTTACAACATTAACAAGTCGTTTTCAAAACATTAATAACCTATAGAAGTATTTAGTAAACCTATGTGTAACCTACACTATGATGCCACATAAACCACACCATAAGATTGGAAGTCATCAAAAACAACAAAAACTATACCCAGTTTTACTTTCTAATTCTCCAACTCAAAATGAATAGTCTACTAGGACAGAAAGAACTATTTGATGGTGGTAAAGAGTCAAGGAATAGCTTACCTTGTTTTCCCACTCAAATTCTGCCCACATGGTTCTAAAAGCAGCATCACTGCACACTGCAGGGGATATATAATCCATGATGTCAATATGAATGTCATTTAGCACAACCACCATCCGGTCAAACACATTCGACGTCTCATAAACAATGTTCCCAAAAATGACGCCAGTCTCAGTTGAGGACACCTTGATGTTTGCTTTTATTTGTTTGCTCGACTCAGGAGCTAGAGTATAATTCTGTGGACGCTCAACAAGTTTAAGATCACCCATAGTTGCCAATTCCAAACATAAATTCTGGAGGGTCTCTTTAGTTCTATTAATAACTGTCACATCCAGGACAATATCATAATGATGAACTGTCACATATGCTTCAGCATAAACAGGGTCGCTAAATCCTGTTAGTTGCAGAACCCGGTTTAGTTTATTAGCATCAGTCTCGTCTTTTACAAATTCTCCAGTGGCACGCTTCAAATCATCTTGGACTGCATCTTCCAACTCCAGCTGACTCATGCCCTGGAAAACAGAAAAAATTTAGGACATGGAAGAACAAATATCACCCTGCATTGAAGCACCAAAGAATCAAACACCAGCTCTAATTGATGAGCTCTGTCATTAAGTAGAAACTACTTAAGAAACATAATTTTGAGGAAAACAGAAACAATTCAAATGCAAATGTTTGAGTTAAACTCATTGTTGTTCATTTTGGTACATCATCATCACCCCTCCTCTTCCCTGGATCATAATAAGCTAATTTAGTGTGGAGAGATCTGCACTCTTGAATCTTGACTATAGTCATTCATAAAAAATTGAAGTCCCAGCTAGTAATTCATATTCAATCAAATTTTTGACATTGATGCTGAAGGAAACTTATGCAATGTAATATGCATGACTCTCTTAATGTGATTGAAACAGTAGTCAAAGAAACAAAAAGTATGACTTAAAAGCTCTGGAAAAGCTGGAATAAAATGTTGAAAATAACACTTAAAGAACATTTCTCAGAAGGCTTGAGACAGTAAAGGTGGAAAGGTGAGACAAAATAGCAAAAGAAATCTGCATCCGTGCAAGGCCCACACAGCACAAAGAAGACACCATTGAGATTACACAAAGAAAACCTCATAATTCAATTTTATGGTCAGCTAAGAATTTTTTTTGATGGACAAATAAATACTTCCAATCAATTTTTAACCCAAATGGGACTTCATTTATTTTTATTTTTTTCAACCCCTTCCCCAAGAAGCTCCCACCTTTGCTCCCTTGTTCAGCTAAGATAATTCTTTTTTTCTTCTCACATATATATAAACTGAAATGTGAGAAAATAGCTACAGGCGACCTCCATGTTAATCAACCAAATACTGTTCAGATAGAAGATACTTTCTTTCCTTTTTTGATAATGTACTGAAATGTTCAGATAGAAGGTACTTACCCTCCTACTCTTCAAATGGTAGAAATCAATGAGGTCATCAGGCTGAGAATGAGAAATTTGAGCCTTTGCTTTGATCTCTTCTGTCTCTCGCATCTGCTTATCAGAAAGCATTTTAACAAAACTCTCATGGCAAGAATTCAACCAGATCTTCCTGACCTCATTGCCAGTATTACATAGCAATCTTACACACAGAACCATCCTATCATAGGAATCATTATCAATTGGGTGTGGAAGAGCTGAAGACTGCCCTAGCTGTATCATTGAGACAATGATCAGTAAAGCATTAGTTGTTGCTTTGTTCACTTCAACTTTGGATGGTTGGACTTCTTCCAATCTCAAAATAAGCTTAGTCAGGGTGCAAGCAACAACTGCCCCAAGGAAGAAATCACCAGTTAGCAGGAGGGATCTCAGATTTCCAGCGGTCAAAGATCCTTGAACTACTGTAGGGGGTGAAAAAGCAGTTTCAGAGGCAGCACTTTGAGTAGCATATGTCCCATCAGCAAGGACAGCAGGTCTTCTAGATGAAACAGTAGTGGAGTTTATTTGCTGAGACTTTTTCGAAGAATCATTAGCTTCGCCTTCCTCAGAAGCTGAATAAAATGGTAGGTCTCCAAGGCACTGTTTGATAGTTGCAATGCCACTCTCAACTTCAGAAAGAGATATACAATACTCTCCAATAATCCAAAGGGCACATGAACAAACACGTGCAGCACGAATTTGGTAGAAAGTATCCAGTAGTCTTGTAACAATGGAAACCCTTAATTTTGGATTTGTTTCAATAATCTCACGGACAAAAACAACCACATCAATTGCAGAAGCGACATTGTTATCTCCCAAGAAGTCCATCAACAGATGGACTACTGTGCTTGCGACTTCCGGAAACTTTACAGCACATGAATGAATGGCTTGGATAAGCATTTGACGGTACTCACCATTCTTCTCAAGTTCACCGCTTTGGGTTTTCATGACTTCTTTCTTAAGTGTGAGAACAACCTCATTGATATTCCGGGGGGTGATCAACTCAAGAACAATGTCAAGTGTTTTTCTCCTGATGTCAAGATTAGGGCTTGAGAGCGCTCTGAGGACATCCATTATCATATCAACCATGATCTCCCTATGAGAAGATTTCAATTCATTCAGTCTATCAAGCACGATAAGCTTCACATTGTTGTCACTCTGAGACTGTAGAAGTTGACAATAGGTATTGGCTGCAGCTCTTATAGCAGTTGGGGCAGAAGACAAAGAAACAAGAGTTCCAGCACATTCATAGACAACAGCAGCAGAAGGGGAGTTGAGCAGTGATATAATTATCTTGATGTACTTCCCTTTCTCCCCTTTGTTTGTCCTGCAAACTTTACGGACCAAATCCAAGACAACCATTTGAAGTAAGTCACCCCAATCAGATACTCTATCAACATGGGTCAAGAGGTAATTGATAGCACGTTCCTGAGCACATTGGAAAAGCATCAAAAATGCATTCCTTTTAGCTGACGGATCCTGCTCTGTGGTAAGAACGTTCTCAATCTTTTCTGGTGCATCTGCCAGAAGTTGCTCACCCTGTGGAAGCTTGTAAACAGCCATCACAGCAAGTATTGCATTCCGGCGAACATACGGATGCCGGTGCTCCAAGTTGCTCATAATAGATGGAATCAGAGGTTCAATTATATCAACCTCATTTAGCCGGCAAAGGAATCTCAAAGTTACTCCACGAATGTACTCATTTGGATGCTGCAAATTATTCCTCAAGTTCTGACAAATTAGGATCATTTCAGGAAGCACACGCCCCTTAGAATCGGTCTTCTCAATAATCTCCAAATACAGAAGCAGCAGCTTTTGAATCGTGTGATCTTCAGAGGGCAAGACATATCTAATAATAGTAATAAACAGTTGGGGTAAGGTTTCACCATTCAACAAAAGCATGACAGCTTTCTTCATGGCATCAACCTTGGCAGGAACATCACTCCCTTCAAGAGCTTCCTTGATCTCATTGGCAAGAGCTGGAGTGCCCTTATCAAAGTGTATCAGCAAAGAACAGGACTTCTCCATTTTATTCTAGTTAGCTTACCTGAAAACTTAAAGTTTCCCATAAGTTCCAAGATAACATATTATAACTTTGACAAAGGAGAACAAAGTTGCAACAATCACAAAAAGACCCCAACTTTTATTTAGTTGAAGCAGTAAAAATACCCTTAAGCAGTCATATATAAAGAACTACTAATACAACATCGATTCTTTGATTATAATAGAATAAATTCATTCAAAAGAGGGCTTCAAACCACAAAGCTATCCATAAGACAGGAAATAATGCATAAATGAAGCTCCTCCTTATAAGAATTAATGAAATCGCAACAAAAAAAAAAACTTTAAACAACGTTTACTAGATTCATAAAAGTATATTACCAGCCGAACAAAGGAGGTTAGGCGATTCAATCACTACAACCTAATGCCAGATAGAATTCTTCCACAACTCACATCACTACTCAATCACACTGCCGCAACAAAAACACAAGCAAAATGTGACCAATCACTCAATCTCTCAACAATGCCTCAATTCCAAATTGAACCTTACTCAATATAAATAAGGCATCCATCAAACTCTATCCTCAGAATCAAATTAAATCATACAAATGAACCACCGATCACTTTATATCTCAGTAACAAAACCACAAAATGCACAATCTTACTCTCAGCTCAGAAATAGGCCGATCTAACCTAATCACAATTGGTTCCAAAACTCAGATCATGTACAATACATGTTTATACATCAAAATGAACAAATAAATCAGTATACATCACGCCTGAATCTACCGACGGCAGTATAATTGAACAAAACTATTACCGGTAGACCTAATAATCAAATTTCGTAATGCAAGCAGACTTACATAGGCAAAATCGAGCAGAGAACAGATCTAGAACGAGAAACAAAAGCGTAATTGATCTAATCAAAGAAGAAGACGAGATAAGAAACAGAACTTACCAGATTAAAGGCAGAAATGGTGGGATCAAAGTGAAGAGAAATTTGTAGAGAGGAATTTGTGGGTTTTGTGGGGCGGAGGAGAGAAAATGGGGTGGAATTTTAAGAAAAGAGAAAAGTTTGGTGTCTTCTTTCTCAGATCTGCGAGATCCGCAGAGTGAGTAAAATGTTGTAATGCTACAAGTCTGGAGCAAAGCTACGAGTACATAGAGAAAACGGAAAAATAATATGGAAAGGCTTAATTAATAGTCTTAGTGACATTTTTTTATTTTGTTAGATGTAAATTTTGATTAATAAATTAAATGTATATTTTTTTGGACAAATTACTTAACTATACTTCTTTACTTACCTTAATATCCATTTATCCCTACTTATTTCAAAAAATTCAAAAATCCCTTATTTACCTATGTATTCCGCATGTATCCCGTACACAACGCTATGTATCTCGCATATATCCCGTGCACAATGCTATGTATCCCGTGCACAACGCTATGTTTCCTGCTATGTGAAATGTATCAAACCTAATGTATCCCGTGCACAACGCTATGTATCCCGCAAACATCATTTTTAAGGGATTTTTGGTAAATAGAAAACTAGAAGGGATAGAATGTTATTTAGTACTTATAATATGTGGTTCCTAAAATTTATACTTTTTTTTTATTAAATTAATATGGGAAAAATAAAATTTATATTAAAGAATAGTTTGTTTACTATTATTATTGTTGATTTTAAAAAAAAAAAATTATGTATGTTTGAAAATTTTGTAATAACATGTAATCTCGCAAAATATTTTGTTTATTAAAAAAAATATGGGGATATGTTTTATGATATTTTTATGTTTATGTGACAATTATAATTTTGAAATTCAAATAAAACTTCAATTTTAAAATCAATAGCTATACAAATTAATTATTTCAAATTCAAATACACGTGGATAATGTTTTTTTAGTTTTTTATGCTCACAAGACCTTGTGTGCTCTATTTATGCACTCAAAGTTTCGCATTTCACTAGCATGAATTTTGTTTATTGAGTTGTATTTTATATGTTATTGACCAACTTCAATTGCCTATTGCGTAAATTAATTATATGTCATTTTGGTATGCAATAAATTTGTATCATTTATTACGATCATAGTAGTCTAACATTAGAATTCGAATGAAGGAAGACAACTTCATTTTTTGATAATATCCGCCAACTCTTCTTTAGCTTTTATATAGCTTGAAGTTCTTTGTTTCGGAACTTTCTTTTTATAAGCTCATTTGGTGAGGAATAACTCTCCTCTTTCCCTTTTCGTTTCTTTGATAAGTTAGAGTTTAAGGATGAGTTTTTCATTCCTAGTTTTGTATTATATAGGTCAGACATATAGCTCCTTCTATTCTCCTTTGGTTTATCTATGAAATTTGGGGATTTTAAAGGGGAAAAAAAATTATAGTGATGAAGCGTCTATTGAAGAAGTTTAAGAAAGCTTTTCAAGTTCATCCGAAATCTATAAAAAAAAAAGAAGCTTTGTATTGTGGAACTTTATGAGAGATTGAGGAATATTAACGAAGACGACAAATAATGGTCAAAAAATAAAAAATGCAAATTTATTTTTTTAGTTGACTCAACTTCGAAAATTATAAACTTAAAAATCGTCAATAAACTAAACATAAAAAAGAAGCATAGTAGACAAGTTAATGTCAATAAATCACATAGAATATCGTGAAAAGGTATTAGAACTGTATTAGTCATAATTATCGGTAATATAAAAGGATCATTGGTATTCATGTTTTTTTTTAATTTCATTGTTAAAAATCTTTCATGAATCAATGAAAAAGTTAACGTTAATAAATTGTACGAGAATCATAAAGAAATAGTCAGAACGTGTGTGTATTCCTAGTTAAAAATATCTGACATATAATTTATGGACTTTAATCACATCCTTTAATGATTATATATGTGTCAATATACTAGTACAAATAAAATTTTACAAGAGTTTTGATCACTTTAAATAATGCAAATTCTAATAAAAGGCATTGCAATTGCAAATAGATTGATAGAACATTTTAAGTTGATGAAATCTTTACTTTTTGTTATAGAAAGTTAGTCCATCTTCAATGTGGCTTTGATAAGCATAACAAAGTCTTTTTTATATTTTATAATTTTCATGTTAATAAAATAAATACCCCATAAATTAAGAAAGAGGAAATAACAATTATTTAAACACCTCATTTTGTATCCAATATATCTTTCTAAAAAGTAAACCATAAAGTATATTGCTATGTCATTTAGAGCACACTAGTCATTATTAATTAAAAGAGATAATGGTGATGATAATGAAAATTCACACACCATTAGTTAGAAAAATTGATTTTGGCCCCTAAAAAATAAAATTATTTTTAATAAGATATATTTACTCTTGTATTAAGACTTCACAAGAACTAGAGTCGAGTTTAAAATGGAAATCGAGAGACGAATATAAAAGAACATTATTATAATTTGGAAAAAAATTAAATATGTCATCGAACTGTGTGAATAAAAATTCATTTATGTCATTCATTAGAAGTTTGACTCATCTATATCATTTCCGTTTGAGAAAAGGTTCATTCATGCCATTATTTGTAAAGTAAAATGTTTTTCCTTTTGCAAAACTATTTTTCACACATGGTCAATTATGATTTGGCCACATCAATAATTAAATTATTTTAAAAAAAGAAAAAAATTTAAATATGTCATCAAACTTTGAGAAAAAGCTTATCCATGTCATCTGTTAAAAGTGTGGTTCATCTATCCCGTTTTCGTTTGAGAAAAGGCTTATCCATGCCATTATTTGCTAACTGAAATTGCATAAATAAGTCAAAGTTTTAACGAAGAACATAAATAAGCCTTTTCTCAAACTCCAAACACATATTTAAGTAGAGTCTGGAACCTAAATAAGCCACAAAAAGATAAAAGTGACCAAAATAAGCCACTATTCTAGTAAGTAACTAAAATAGGCTTAGTGGAAGAAAAAATTATGTTTTATGCAATATTCCAAATGTTTTCCGTTAATCTCATAACGTGTATATTTTAATATATAATGAAACTATTTTTTACACCTTGTAAAATGGAACTATTTCTTACACTTTGTAAAGTTTAAGTTTTTCTTACACTTTGTAAAGTGGAAGTTTTTCTTACGCTCTATAAAGTGGAAGAAAATCTTATATTTCAAGAAAAGTTACTTTCGCAAAATTCAGAATGATGGGTCTGTTTTACACACACACACACATATATATATATAACCGCAATATAGGAGATTGCAAAGGTGACAGGTTTTGTTATCTTTCTATTCTTTTAAAATAGAACATATTAAAGGAATTGATAATTCTCTTGCAGATTTTCTCTCAAGAAACGTCCAATATGGACAATCGAACACACATATATATATATGCATCAAGTTTTACATTTCAAAAGTTGAAATCCCGGATCATGCTTTTTGGAGAATTTGAAATTAAATTTCAAATTGCATATTCAATCATTAATTATAAATTATGACTTCATATCGTATGTCCAAGTTAGACACCATCAAAATGTTTGTACTGATGAAATAGTGTGATGTAGATTGTTGCTCGCAAGCCAGTGGAACCCAAATGATGTTGTTTGACAGAATATTATTTTTATAATTAGTTTTAATTTACCTAAAGGAAAAATATAAATCTTTCATATTTGAGTAATCCTTTGATTTTTGGAGTAAAAGATTTTGGACTCTCTTATAGATTGAGATTCGACATTTCTTCTCACTTTACGTTATACACAATGTATAGATAAAGTAACTTTTCTTAAAGTGTAAGATTTTCTTCCACTTTATAAAGTGTAAGATTTTCTTCTAATTTATAAAGTGTAAGAAAAACTTACACTTTACAAAGTGTAAGAAATAGTTCCGTTTTATACGGTGTAAGAAATAGTTCCGTTATAAATTAAAATATACACGTTATGAGACTAATGGAAAACGTTTGAAATATTACATAAAATGAAATTTTTTCTTCCACTAAGCCTATTTTGATTACTTACTAGAATAGTGACCTATTTTGATCACTTTTATCCTTTTGTGGCTTATTTAATTCCGAACTCATTTAAGTCTTTTTCCTAAAAATTTTAGTCATTTTTCATTGAAACATTCAAAACAAACCTTTACAAAAAGGATAACTATTTTGAGGCAAATAAAATAGAACTAAATTAAAATTAAGAAATAAATAAGAATATTTAGTCTTTCAAAAAAATATTAAGAGACGTGAAAACACAAACAAATATAACAAGTAAAATGGTCTTGTAAGAAGATTCAAGAATATCTCCATACTAAAATTTATATACCAAAATTTAATGAATACAAATTTCATATAGCAGATTAGCAGTATTAACTTATATACTCATATCTTATATACTCTAGTAAATACTAAAATCATCTAATAACAATAATACTCCCACTATCTCAATTTTGTGGCACATTTTTCTGAAAGTCAAATAAATTAAATTTGATCGAGAATTTGTTTCTGAAATTTTCAACTTTTTTAAAATGATTTTTTTTTTGAGTTTGTAAATTAGTACTAACTTAGGTAAAAGGTAATTGATAATTTTAAATATTTGAAAAATAGATTTATTTGAATCTCGAAAAATTAAGACGGGTCGGAGTAGAAGAAAAATACTGACGGTTCACTCTTTATTACTTGATTACCAAGCAACCATACTCTCTCTCCATCCCTTTCAATTCACCATAAAAAGCCTCTCAACACCACCCTGTCACGTTTTATCTCCTCTTTTACTTCTATTAAACCTCTAAAACCCCCACATTTTTCTCCATCTACAACTCTCTTTCAACTACTCGGCTGCAAATCGACGGGTTCTTCGGTGTGGTTTTTACTAGAAAAATGGTGGAGGGAGGTAAGGAATCGGTGTTTCCGGTGATATTTTTCGACGGGGAGAGGGAGATGAACATTGGCAACATCAGAATTCAACCGACGCTGGTATTCAAGCCTTTTCAGTTGATGATCAGTGAGAGAATCGGGATTTCACCGAATCAGATTTCAATTTACTTATGTGATCGTAAAGGCTATAATAATAGGTTCGAGGATCGAAGGAAAATGCCTGTCACAGGTAAAGCGAATTTCGCTGTGATTTCTCGTGAGAAGAATTGTTTCTTCCTTGTTGTCATGAAGCGTTCTAGAAAAGCA